CATGCTTTCGAACTGCTAGGTTGGCAGAAACTGGGACAAGTAACGGGAGCTCACCCCGTTACACAACACTAGGGATTCAAACCGCTGAACTGCTGACCTTTTGATCAACAAGCTCAGCGTTTTAGCCACTGAGCCACCGCATCCCTAACGCTCTTTCTAGAGTAGCAGTATTCATCCTTGCCATTTAATTATCCAAGATTCTTTATTGGCAAACATTAATTGTCTGTGAAGTGCCTGGTTAAAATAAAAAATAAAAATGAATTGTGTAACAATAGTGAGCATTTTTGTTAGAAATGTCTTGTTATTCTTGAATTCCATTTTTATTCAGTGTTTTTTTTTTTTGTGGGAATGGAATCATGAATACTTGACTTCAGCCAAAGCCAACAAGATCTGCAGATTTCTGGATATTGTTCTGGGTTCTTTGTGACTCTTTAATAAGAGACCCATTCTTAGAAAGATTCACTGTTGTCCTAAATCTTATTTCAATATTTTGCCTTTGAATTTGAGCAATGGAGTCTCAGAGCTTTGGATAGGCTGTTGTCATCTTTTCCAGACTCATAGGCATAATATTCCAAAAAAAATCTATGTAGTCAGAACTTCATAGTGATCAAGGAGCCAGAGTTTTGTGAAATTTACAGTATGTAGGGCAGGATAGGCTTAAAATAGCCCACATAGTTCAATGAAGTGGTTATCACTTTAAATGAATTGATGGTCTATACCAGAGGTGGATTTCAGCAGGTTCTGACCAGTTCTGGAGAACCAGTAGCGGAAATTTTGAGTAGTTCAGAGAACTGGTAGCAGAAATTTTGAGTAGTTCAGAGAACCGGTAAATACCACCTCTGACTGGCCCCACTCCCATCTATTCTCTGCCTCCGAGTCCCAGCTGTTCGGGAGGAAATGGGGATTTTGCAGTAACCTTCCCCTGGAGTGGGGTGGGAATGGAGATTTTACAGTATCCTTCCCCTGCCACGCCCATCAAGCCATGCCACACCCACCAAGCCACACCGACAGAACCGGTAGTAAAAAAAATTTGAAACCCACCACTGGCCCTTCAAAAATCATATGTGGAGTGCTTTGAAATGAGATAAATGAAACAAACGCTAAACTTTTCCCACGTTTTTTCAGTGTCCCTTTGAAGAACAGTGAGTTCCACTTGAAAGTGATAATATTCAGTAGCAGACATTATGAAAACATAATGTTTTCAAGGGTGAATACAGAATTACAACTTTTTTGCTGACAGCATCATTAACCCATTGAAATTACATAACAACAAATGTCACGCATGAGGAGAAGTGAACAAACTTCTCATCGTCTTATTTATGTCTGTTTTAGGAAGCAATTGTTAATCTTAACACTCAGCACGCTGTGATCTTATTCTGGCAATGGGTAATGAGGGTATCTTACTATTTGATGGACATCCTGTAAAACAGGAGCTTACAGACAATGGTGACTGCCACAAAGTGGAAGTTTTCTCAGCTACTGAGAGATCCAGGTTCCCTCTGTGTGGCCATATGAGTGAAAACCTATTCAATAACAAGTCAAGGTTTATGTATTTGATGAAAATACAATATGACTGTTCCTCAGACCTCAGTTGCAGTCGTGATGTGGAATCCCAAATGTTAACTGTCACATTTCTGCAACTGTGCAATATGCCTATTGAAGCTCTCATTCTGAAGTTATACTTCTGCTAGCGTTAGGCAGCTTGGTTAGGCGGGACTCATAATTCCTTTATAGCAGTAGCCCCTCTTTTTCTGTTTACATCTGCAATTTATGTCCCATGAACATAAAAGGACTATCTTTTCATTTGCTAACTGAATGAAAAATGCTGCAACTCCATAGCATTCCTTGAGCTTTCCTGTGGTCACAGCAGCACATAAAGATTCAGCTTTTATGAAACTAACTGTACTAACAAACCATGTAAGACACATATTTGGCAGCAAAAAGAATGCCGCCACCTCCACCGAAAGATAAATTCTACAGTCTGTCATCTCTCCAGTGTTTCAAAAGCATCTATCACTTAGGCATAAACAAATCTAATTTAACAGATTTTGCATCTTGACACTTACTTTGTAAATTTTGTTGAAGCAGGCATGTTCCTTTCCTTTGTCTAAACTTTTATTCAATCGTAAAAAATAAGCCTTGATTCATTATTATCTCTGCCAGTTAAATCAGAATTTGGCAGTACAGCTGCCAAACCAGACTTGGTAAAATGATTTTTTGTTGTTGTTGTTGTTGTTGTTAGATGCAAAGTCATGTCCGACTCATCGCGACCTCATGGACAACGTTCCTCCAGGCCTTTCTGTCTTCTACCATCCTCTGAAACAGTGGTGAAATCCATTTTTTTTTTACTACCAGTTCTGTGGCTGTGGCTTGGTGGGCATGGCAGGGGAAGGATACTGCAAAATCTCCATTCCCTCCCCACTCGGGGGCCAGCTAGAAGTGGTATTTCCCGGTTCTCCAAACTACTCAACATTTCCGTTACCGGTTCTCCAGAACCTGTCAGAACCTGCTGGATTTCACCCCTGCTCTGGAGTCTATTTAAGCTCACACTGACTGCTTCAGTGGCTCCATCCAGCCACCTCATTCTCTGTCATCCCCTTCTTCTTTTGCCCTCAATTGTTCCCCACATTAGGCTCTTCTCTAGTGAGTCCTTCCTTCTCATTTGGTAGCCAAAGTATTTGAGTTTCATCTTCAGGATCTGGCCTTCTAAAGAGCAGTCAGGGTTGATCTCCTCTAGGACTGGCCAGTTTGATTGCCTTGCAGTCCAAGGGACTCGCAGAAGTCTTCTCCAGCACCATAGTTCAAGTTCAAAGGCCTCAATCCTTTGACGCTCAGCTTTCTTATGGTCCAACTTTCACAGCATACATTGCAACTGGGAGTGGTAAAACGATGGCTGTTAGAAATTAGTCGAAGTCCTAATACAACAATAGAGAGAAGAATATTCTCTCTATAATAAATACCAGAGTAATGCCCTCAATGTTCTGTCTCAATTCTGTGGGAATCTAGAAGGAGAAGAACAGACTCAGAATCAGTCTTATCCTGAAGACTTGTCATCTCTAGTACTAAATGAATCCATGCTGCATCAGACAAAACTGGAGCACAATTCAACTCAAGGAGTATATGGCGGCATATGGCTAGGAAGGCCTTTGACTAGTGTCACCCATTCCTGCATTGGGAGGCTCTGCTTATGATCACTTACACCTTGGCAACCTCTTAGAAGCCAAACGTAGTCCAGAAATCCAACTAATGCAGCAGAGTGGATAGCTATAGGAAACCATGGTATACCCAACCCATATAAACCCCATTTTATAAGCTGCACTAGTTAACAAGGGCCTCATGGGTGCAAGATGTTGTTGACACCTATAAAATCCTTCATGACGTAAGATCAAGATATTTGATAGATAGATGGTCCGTCTATCTCTAATTATTGCTGCCTCCCCAACAAGATCAGATCGGATTGACATGTTCCAGCCCCTTCTGTTAAAAAGTTCCACTTAATGTGACCCAGGCCTTTTCTGTTGCTAGACCTGTCCCCAGGTTACCCCAGGCCTTTAGAAAGCACTTGACATCCTGGTTCTTCTGTAAAGCATTTGGTCAGGTTGTTACAATAGTCATTACTATGTGCTAGTCTGTGTCACTTGAATGATTAATTCCAAGATTACATATGTGGTTCTTTTTATGATTGGCATTTTTTTTTTTATGTTTTCAACTTGGTAACTACCCTGAGTTGCTTGGTGAATGGGCAACCGCATAAAATGGATGAATAAATAAATTAATACCAAGGTGATTTTGTCTGCAGAATGTCAAACGGGGCGTGATATCCACGTTTTTGCAGAATATGCCAAAGCAAAGTAATCCTTTTCTTGTCCCCTCTGTTCTATGTTTCATGAAATATAACTCACTTCTATTTTTGTTTTGTTTTGTTTTGTTTTGTCTTAGCTTTCTACAAAATGGGTAATATTAGGTATTCATTGTGGTTAGCTGATTGTTCTAGGACTACAACTAGCTCTTTGAATCACACAGTCTACTAAAAGCCCTGCACAGATATTCTCACCGCAGCCGGTTGACCCATTTGACAGAAAGGTCAGCTTGCAGCATGCGTAAAAAGAATGTTCAGTGCATTAAAGGCAGACTCGCTCATGCGTGTACGGCCTCCTGGCATTTCTGCTGAGTCTTCCCCATGTCCTGCTGCAGCGCCTTACCATGAGGAAGTTGTCGCGAAGCAACTTACGTTGAGTAAAGCATGAATCAAACAAACATTTTCCAATAGCAGCAACAACGTTCCTCGCTCGGAATGTGAGTTTCGATCATTGAGAGGAAGATATGAAGAGTCCCGAAGTCCGCAACGTTTGATTGGTCTTGCTAATTTCCAGTCTGGATTATATATATTTAATCAAAGGGTAGAGCTAACTGGTCACAATAAACTGCTGTTCCGGCACTTTATTCAGCATTCATGGAGGATGGGGAAAATCACTATGGATAGGGTTTTTTTTTTTTTCTTCCCTCTCCCCTCCGCCCCCCATTTCTGAAATATTATAGGTTTTGCTGACAGAGCGGCTAATATTCAGAGGTCTGAGAATTTTACATCTGTGAGGTTGGATCAGAGTGAGTTAGATAGACAATACATTTTGTGTTGACATCGTCTGTCTGTTCTGTGAAATAACCAACACAGCTTTCAATCATTTGAAGAGTAGCCTTATTTAGAAATTATATATTAAACTAAGACTGACTGTAACTTTGTTGCTTGTATCCTTACGATTTATATTGATATTGTTTCCTGATTGCTTATTTGTACCCTATGACTATCATTAAGTGTTGTACCTTATGATTCTTGATGAATGTATCTTTTCCTTTATATACACTGAGAGCATATGCACCAAAGACAAATTCTTTGTGTGTCCAATCACACTTGACCAAGAGAGAATTCTATTCTATTCTATTCTATTGCATAATGTCATATGACATCAAATGCTCATTTTCTGTCTTGCTTTCTTATTTAGACAATTCACGGCCATAAAGGGGCAATAACAGCCGTGGCTTTTGCACCCGATGGTCGGTATCTTGCCACTTACTCCAACACTGATAGTCACATTTCCTTCTGGCAGGTAAGTCCCAGATATTTTATTTTATTTTTGGTTTGTTATAGAGGTAGTCCTCGATTTACAACCACAATTGAGCCCAAAATTTCTGTTGTTAAGTGAATTTTGCCCCATTTTACGACCTTTCTTGTCACATAAATGACTGCAGGCGTTAAATTAGTAACACAGTTAAGTGAATTCGGCTTGCTCGTTGACTTTGCTTGTCAAGAAGTTCGCAAAGGGTTGATCACGTGACTCCGAGACACTGCAACCGTCATAAATGTGAATCAGTTGCCAAGCATTTGAATTTTGATCATGGGACCATGGGGATGCTGCAATGGTTGTCAATGTGAAAATTTATTTATTTTTTATTTATTTTATTTAACTTATATGCCGCCCTATCTCCAACGGACTCAGGGCGGCTCACAACAATAAAATCCACAATAACCACAGTACAAAGTTAAAATACCTAATTAAACAGATAAAAGTGACCAGAAAAATGGTCATAAGTCACTTTTTTCTGTGCTGTTGAAACTTCAAATGGTCACTAAATGAACTATTGTAAATTGAGGAATACCTATAGTAGACTAAGTCCTCTCTTTTTTTTCCCCACAACAATGCTGTGAGATAAACTGGGTTAAGAGACAGTGCCTGGTCAAGATTCATTCCATGAATTACTGTAGGTAAAGCTGAGCCTTAATCTGGGTCTATTCTGTGCCAGTCCCCTAAACTATAGGTAAGTGACCCTCAACGTATTGGACACCAGGGACCGGTTCCGTGGAAGTTTATCCATGGATCAGAGGGAGCATGGTTTCGTGTGCTGCCTGCATCCCATGGATGGGGCTCTGCTTGTTTGCACAGCCCAGTTTCTGACATACCATGGACCGGTCCCAATCCAGGACCGGGGGGTTGGGACCCCTGCTATAGATAATCCTCAACCTATGACTGTAATTGAGCCAGGATTATTTATATATATTTATTTATATAGTCGTATTTCCTGCTGGTCATTGTGGGTCATCACATGACTGACCTGATTTTACAGTTTTTGCAGTGGCCATTGTTTGCAATGGTCACTTTTGGCTGGAAACCAGAGATAAACAGCAGATATATCATAGCTTTGAGCTGGGCATCATTTGCTCTTCTACTTCAAACAGCAAAATATTTCAAATGACGGGTAGTCCTCAATTTACCAGCACAGTCGAGACCAGAATTTCCATTGCCATCAAATCAGTTGTTAAGTGAGTCATGCCCAATTTTACAGCCTTTTTTGCCACAGTCATTAAACTGGTCACGTCGTTAAGGGCATCCAGTTTCCCCCCACTGACTTCGCTTGTCGGAAGCCAGCTGGGAAGGTTGCAAATGGCAAACACATGACCCCAGGACACTGCAACAGTTATAAATACATGCCAGTTGCCAAGCACCTAAATTTTGATCACACAACCGTAGGGATGTTCCGACAGTCATAAGCACAAAGACTGGTTGTATGGGACTTTTTTCGTTGTAAACTCTGGTCACTAAATGGTTGAATGGTTGTAAGTCAGGGACTACCCTTAGTTCCCTATGAACTCTTTTCAAATACTTTATGAAGCATTTTTATTAAATCACAGAGGGCAGTTCTGCTTCGAGCTGTGCCGAGAGCATGGGTCAGTATTCAATGGACTGTACAATTTAACTACAGATATGGAATAAATGTAGTGTTCAGTTGTTGTTGTTGTTGTTTTTAATACTAAAACCTGAATCATGGAAGAACATACTCCCAAACAAAATGACGGGTGAAAACTTTAAAAAATGTAGCCCACCATATCTCAGGATGTTCCCCTACACAACATCTTAAATCAATGGAGATTAGGTAAAGGTAAAGATTTCCCCATCTGTCATATCTGGCTCTAGGGCACGGTGCTCATCTCCGTTTGTTGGCCAAGGGAGCCAGCGTTATCCAAAGACAATTTCATGTGGTCAGTATAGCCATACGCCAAAGGTGCACAGAATGCTATTATTTTCCCACCAAAGTGGTACCTATTTATCTACTTGCATTTGCATGCTTTCGAACTGCTAGGTGGACAGGAACTGGGGCAAGTAACAGGAGCTCACCCCATCGTATGACACTCAGGTCTCGAACCCAGGCTGTCAGCGATCCAGTTGACAAGCTCAGTGTCTTTAACCACTGAGCTATCGCGCCCCCTGATTATACAACACACAACCCAGGAATTGAAGAGGGACACCCTTAAGTGAAATTGTGCCTTTTGTTTGCAATGCCTGCCTTTGTAGGCGGATGGCTCAATGAAGGAAAAAACTGCAGCGGCAGAATTATTGCTACCCTGGATTCAGTATCCCTGTAACTAACAGCTAGTACATAATTTTAATTTACTATTACTTTCTACATTAATTTGATGATAACTGTGCGTCATTAAAGAGTATTGAATTTATCGTCTGTCATCGCAGAGTATGTTATTTAGGAAGCAATGAATAAGAACTGCGAAAATGCTCTTCCATCACTTGCATGTATTTAGTTCGGTTACGTGGGAAGATCTAGAAAGCAATCAAGCTTATTGATTGCAATGTTTTACATGATCATCTAAGATTACCAGGGGGAGTGGCCGCAGCAACCCTGCTTCAGTGCAGACCCATCCTTCAACATATGCCATAAACTGCTGAGCTTAGTTCTAGCTGTGAATATTTTTCCCCTTGATTTTTTTTTTTTTAAACGGTAGCTTAAACAGAAGGAGTTAACAATAGCCAGCATGTTACATTTATTTAAAAATGTAGTCTTATGTACTAGTGATTCCTCCTCTCCCTCCAGTGGGTCTATTCAGCACTGCTATTAATGCAAGAAAATCAGTAACATTAGTCATCTTAAAAGGGTTATTACTCAAGATGATTTAAATTGTGAAAATGTCAGTGGGGCTTGCATGCTCCCTGCTAGAGATTTACATTCTCTGACACCATTTCGTTGTTCAGAAGGACCAGGAAAAAGGGGGGGAGAGAGAGAGAGAGAGAAAGAAAGTAATGGCTTCTCTGTTGCGCTGATCAGGATTCAGAACATGATATCAGCAGCAGCGCATCTTAAAAACGTCCCAGAATATGCCAAGGTTTCCATGTGTCGAAATCTCAGGCGCGCAGCTGACTCTGCCATCCCCATCTGTTCTGGGAAGGTTTCCCCTCCTAATGGGTTTAGCTGATTAAAGGAACCATTCAGGACAACCGCTTCATTTCTTTGCACAGGCACATCACCTACATAACAAAGTGATCTAAATAGGCCAGTTATGAAGTGAATTGGAAGCTCCAGTTGGAATTTAAGAGCTTGTTTCCTGGATGTTTTGCTTAGGGAACCGACACAGAGAGGAGAAAACTGCTGCCTCTTAACTGCTTCCTCTCCACCATTCCCATTGCATTTCAAAATACTGCATTTATTTTGAAATAATGTATGAATTAAATACCCAACTTTATTCACGAAGCAGCAAAAAACAGAGAAAACTGTTCTTGTTGCCGGACGGTGCAATTACAACCATTTAATATGCATACACATATCGGGTGGCTAGAGAAAAGAAGTGGGTTGCATAACATTTGCATGACACCGATTATTATTTTTTTTTTAAAGCATGCAGCTTTCCAGCAAAATATTAATGTTCGGTTCATAAATCAGTGCATTCCTATTTTACTTTTGCTACTTTCCTCTTTGAACGGTGCAAGGGGAAAAAACGGTAAGCTAGAAGACCATGTTCATGCAAGTGTAGGAAGTCTCTTCTGGAGATAAACATAAAGGAGCCGAGGTGGCGCAGTAGTTAGAGTGCAGTACTGCAGCTACCTCAGCTGACTGCCAGATCAGCAGATCAAATCTCACCGGCTCAAGGTTGACTCAGCCTTCCATCCTTCCGAGGTGGGTAAAATGAGGACCCAGATTATTGGGGGCAATATGCTATTTAGTATACTGTCTTTGGTGTAAGCTGCCCAGAATCCTCGGAGAGTGGGCGGCATAGAAATATGAATAATAAAATAAAATAAAATAAATAAAATATCCAGAAAATCTTAGGAGATCCTCAGCACCAAGGCTTCAAGAAATTGCAGTTGCTTCGCAGAATTTAGGAACAGGTCCAGGCGATGCTTAAGATTGCAAAGCATCCCTACAAGAGAGTATCAATAATAATATCTAGTGTTTATATAAATCCATTTGTATTACTGGAAGCACTTCCGATAGATCTCTCACAGCAGGCTTACCAGGAAGTCTGTGAAGTCAGCTCAGAATGTTTTAATTTGCAAACAGACAGTTATCAAGAAAACACAGATGTGTATGTAAATGTCTGTAGAGATTTTCAGTCATCCAGGTCATGGTTGTCCCAAAGGTGCTTTTTCAGGAGGCAACTAGACTTCCTTGTTTTTTCTTTTGAAGACTTTTCACCTCTCACCCAAGAAGCTTCTTCAGCTCTGACTACCCAGCCCCACTATCCTGTCAGAGCTGAAGAAGCTTCTAGGATGAGAAGCGAAACGTCTTCAGAAGAAAAAACAAGAAAGCCCAGTTGCCTCATGAAAAATCACCTTTGGGGCAGATGTGTATTCATAACCACCTAGGACAGAAGTGGGGACCAAGCCACACGTGCCATAAACTCACCCACATCCTATTACAGATCCTAGAAATGGGACCACTGAAATTTAATGGCAAAATACCAGGATTCAGCAGTGCTAATTTTGTTTGCTTGTTTCTTGATTCCTTTAACAAAAAAATAGGCAGTCAATAAATAGTGCCAGGTCAAAAGAAAGTTACTCCACTCCTGATCCAATGAGTTATAAAGTTAACAAAGATTTTAAAAGGAGACTATTGGGCTACAAAGACAGCCAGTGTGGTGTAGTGATTAAGGCATCAGGCTATAAACCAGGAGCTTCTGAATTCTACTCCCGCTTTAGGCACATAGCCAGTTGGGAGATCTTGGGCCAGTCTCTCTCTCCCTCTCTCTCTCTCTCTCCCTCTCTCCCTCCCCCCCTCTCTCCCTCCCCCCTCCCTCTCTCTCTCTCTCTCTCTCTCTCTCTCTCTCTCTCTCTCCTCCCTCCCTCCCTCCCTCCCTCCCTCTCTCTCTCTCTCTCTCTCCCTCCCTCCCTCCCTCTCTCTCTCTCTCTCTCCCCTATGAAACAGGCAATTCCTGAGGAATTGAAATTTGGCAAATTTTGTAAAATATTTTATGGTATAAAAATTATCACAAAACATTTCATGACATGATGCAAAATGTCATAAAATATTTTCTGTGGTCAGCTCCTGATGTTTGACTGTGCTATATATAACAGTTCTGTATATGGGCTACTTTCAAGGCAGATACATCCCTGAATATCTGTCTGAATTTTGAAGAACTTTTCATGTACATTTGAAACTCTGTCTTTGTGGAATCTGGTAAGGAAATGTCTCTGAAATGATGAGCCCAGGTGTGTGTGTGTGTGTGTGTGTGTGTGTGTGTGTGTGTGTGTGTGTCACAAGTTGTCTAATATTCTCCAAAAACTCAAGAGAAAGTCTCTTATCCACAGACTCCCCCTCTGACTATCAGCTGTACTTTCTCAGTCTTCATTTTCCCCACAACCAAAATAACCCCCTCCAAAAAAAAAATTGTGACAAAAGTTCTGCCTACCCATAGAAAGTGCAAAAAAGATTACCCTCACCCCCTATTATCCACTGATCAGCTCATATTTGGAGCAATGCCAGAAGGTTACATTAGTAGTTTGATTAGAAAGATGGGATGAGATGTATTCACTTGTCAGTAACTATTTGTCTACTCGCTGACCTTAAAGGAGGCAAAATGAAAAGCCAGAATCACGTAACCCAATTGCAGAGGTCTCTCTCTCTCACACACACACACACAAACATACACACACACATATACGCACACAGAGAGAGAGAGTTTGGTGGATTTGTGATGGTGAACTTTGAACAAAAAGTCTGAAACAGGCACCTTTCCCATTAAGACATCCGTGAATGTCAGATCTTCTCTGATAAGAAATTAACACAAGCCTAAAGCTTTTGCCTTTGTTGATGGTGTGTCTTGTGTGTGTGTGTTGTGTGTGTGCGTGCTTGCGTGCTATCACTTTTCATGGTGAATGAGGTAAAAATTGAACTTCTAAATAGAGTGTGAAATGGCCTTAGAAATTATAGCTATCTCGGGCAGCTGTAATTAAATTGTCTTTATGGATTCCCCTCACAAAAAAACACAGCTTGGCTGAAGAGGGCAAATGAGGTTGATATGGCAGCCTCATCAAGAATATTTGCCAAAAGGCTTCTGAGTTTCAGGACTTAAGACTCCATTTATTGGCCTGAGATGAATTAAGTGAAACTATAGCTGATCTTTACAGAAGGATAGAAGTGACGTTGGTAGCAGCATGAAGTTTTACTCAAGGACTTTCCCTCAGCCTTTTAGGGAATTTCTTAGGAAATTCAGTGCTGTATTGCAGGTAGTCCTTGACTTATGACCACAATTGGAACCAGAACTTCCTTTGATAAGTGAGGCCATTGTTAAGTGAGTCATGTCCGATTTTACAACCTTTTTTGCCATGAAGTGATTCTTCCGGTGTACCCAGATATGGGATGGAGCATAACTGCTTCCGCTTTCGCCTTTCAGCCCCAATCCAGGAGCCTTCGCAGGCAGTCGCTTCCGCAACAAACTATTATGTGTTAAATTTACCGACAAAGAAATAAAGGGAGAGCTTTTTAGCTCTCATCAGCTAGCCGCCATACCCTTCTGGGATTCGAACCCGGGCTGCTTGCATATTAGGCAGATGTATTAACCTCTAAGCCATGGGCTCCCCTCGCTTTGTCGGCTGTACCAGGGGGAGAGATTAAGTGTTTTTCCGGTGAGTCAGGTCTATCAGGGCAACCTGGTCTACCCAAATATGGGACAGAGCATATTGCTTCCGGTTTTTTACCATGGTTGATGTGAATCACCATGTTTGACAAGCAAATCTGACTTCCCCCATTAACTTTGTCAGAACCACCCTTGGAAAGGACATTAATGATTATCAGATGATCCTGCAAGCATTGCAGAGCCGCGGTGGCGCAGTGGTTAGAGTGCAATACTTACAGGCTACTTCTGCTGATCACCAGCTACCAGCAGTTTGGCAGATCAGATCTCACCAGGCTCATGGTTGACTCAGCCTTCCATCCTTCCAAGGTCGGTAAAATGAGGACCCAGATTGTTGGGGGCAATCTGCTGATTCTGTAAACTGCTTAGAGAGGACTGTAAAGCACTGTGAAGCAGTATATAAGTCTAAGTGCTGTTGCTATTGTAAATACATACTGGTTGCCAAGTGCTTGAATTTTGATTATGTGACCACAGAGACCTTGTGACAGTCGTACATGTGAAGACAGGTCATAAACCGTTCTTTTTCCAGCCCTGTTGTAAGTTCAGACGGTTCTCAGATGAATGGTCTTAATTCGAGGACTATCTGTATTCCTTCATAAGGCAAATGTATGGATTTCAATATTGATTGACTTGTTCCTTTTCTCCCCTTTCTCCCAATGCCAGATGAACACCTCTCTGTTGGGAAGCATCGGGATGCTGAATTCTGCACCGCAGCTCCGTTGTATTAAAACCTACCAGGTGCCTCCTGTCCAACCTGCATCTCCAGGTTCACATAATGCCCTCAAACTGGTCAGGCTTATCTGGACTTCGAACCGCAATCTTATTCTTATGGCCCATGATGGCAAAGAACATCGATTTGTGGTGTAAAGTTAGGGTGTGTGAAAGAGGCTTCTTTCTGCCCCCCCCCTCCGATTCTAAATACAAATGTGTTTTGAAAGTTCTTGTAAATTGATTCTCCCTCTTTATGATCTTAATATTGGAGGTATTAAATACCCAAAGATTTATGGACCAGGATTGGCCAGACAATATATATTCTGCTGGCTTCTGCACAGCAGAAGTACTGCTTAAGCACTCCTTTAGAGCAGTATTTCTCAACCTTAAGATGCCTGGGCTTCAACTCCCAGAATTCCCAACTGGCTAGAGAATTCCGGGAGTTGAAGTCCACGCATATTAAAGTTGCCAAGAGAACTTTAAGTTTAGAGAAATGCAGACCCATTTCAGCAATTAGAACATCTTGCAAGATTATTCTCTTTATCACTATGAGAAAAAAACAAAACAAAAGAGAAGCTTGAGAATGTAACTTGGGTCTGGCTAGATTGATAAGAATCTTGATTCTAGTGACTTTGAAAAAGAAAATCACTTCACAACATTAAAACTGGTCTGAATCTCATCATTCTGAGAATGCTAAAATCCTCAGAACCTAAATGGGAAAAAAAAATCCTTCAAAGTGTTTTGAAATATCATGTTTACCAAAGTTTATGTGTTTACACGGAAATTCTTCCAAGTTCTTGGAAGATCTTGGAGTAAGAATGCTCTGTTCATTTTTGAAATCCTGATAGGATCAGGAAAGATCCACAAGTCCCATATATACTCTTTTGGCATTTTTTACCTGGAAAAAAAAAAGAGAGAGAGTCATATGGCACCTATATATCTAGAATCTGAGATGCTAACTAAAGTCACTGGTTAATGGCATTAAAGACCCATTATATATTTCAGGTTTGGGGTTTTGTAAGAAAATGTATAGAAAAGAAGAAATCATTTTCTTTATGTAATTTCTAATCAAGATGAAAACAATGGCATATTCCCATTAACAAAAAGGCAATTTTATGTTTCTTAGGTTGGAGAGAAAGAATACCTCCAGTTATTTTTTTTTCCTTCAATGAAAATTTACACAATAATATGAAAGAGATAATGGGGATATTGATATTTTCTTTGCTGCTATTATATGTATCAATATCATAACTATGTATCCACAAATGAGCTCTTCCACAGCTTCCTCTCGCAAAGAAATGAAGGCTCTTCGCATTTACATCGTCAAACTCTATTGTGACATAAATATGTCACTAATTATGATACAGCAAACTTATATCATTTGGATTCATCAGAGGAAAGGGATTTAAGAGAATTATTTAATAAAACATATCTTTATCATTATTGCAAGAAATACGAAGAAAAATTAACCTTTGGGTCAGTTTCAAGTGTTATCCTTAATCAGAAAAAAAAAATCATAATAGGCTGATTAGCATTCACATATCTCCTCTGTCTTATATATTTATTTTCTTCCTGAAAAAACATTATCTGTCTCCCATCCACCCTTCGTTATAGAGCTGAGGGGGGGAAATGTAGAAAATATTTTATTGAAATGCTGGTGTGTTAAACATACTGTATGTATAGTATACATGTACTTCTAGACTTGAATATGAGAATACAGAGAAAATGCTCTTAGTGCATGCTGATAAATTTAGCAAAAATGGCCGCCTGTGGAAAATTTGATTGTGAAAATTGAAGGATGAAGAATCCAGAAGGACAACTGAATGCATTTTTTTGAGCACAGCATCTGCATCATCTCCCCAGAAATGAATGTTGTCCATCATCTTTGCCTTCCTGAATATCACTGAAACATTCCTGGTGCTTTACATACATTGAGATTATCATCAAACAGTTTAGTGACCTGTTTAATACCATATATGTAACTAACATTATATCAGCCATAATTAGTTACCTTGAGAAAATTTAAAAGACAATAAGAAATTGTTCAGAATGTTTTACAGCACTGTGACTTTGTGCTATTGATCTATGGTTTGGTGGAGATAAATTCAGTTGTACATTTTCAGATTTTTGAGGGGAGGTGGTTAAAGAAACATATCATGTGTGCACCTGGTTATGACTACTGTCCCTGGAATACACAGAAATGTACACCATTGTTGAATTCTATTACGATGACGGCATAAATGGTACAGTGAATGATATTTAGGGATACTCCCTGTCAGATAAGTTTATTTTTTTATTATGTATAATTTGTTTTTGTTATCCACACGTTCTTTTTCCACATTGATTCCTGCAATCTATGGGGTCCCATTTATTTGTATGGAATGATGCATGAGAGAAAAAAAGCAGATTCCTTATTACAAGGTTGGCTAATATTTCCTGAAATAAACAAAACTCTGCAGAGACCATTTCTGAGCAATAAGGCAAATTGGAGAGGCAGGTTTCCAAATTTACTAAGCTATTTGCATAATGGTACTTGTTGCATCTCAGCAGAGAATCTCCAATCTCCTGGGATGCTTGGATTTCTAGCTGCCATCAACCCAGAAGCAAAGGATTGTGGGAGTTTGTAGCTAAAATGTTTTGCAGGGCACTTGGGGCCTATTATTAGTGTAGGCCTACTCAGGACAGAGTCCTACATTATGGTAATCTCAGGATTGCCAGTTAAAAAACGCACTCCAGTATGGAGAAGGTAAACGCAGTCTAAAACATGGGTGTCAAACTCGCGGTGTCACTTTGCTGTCACGTGACGTTTTGCGACATTTTTCCCATTCACAGAATTGGGGTGGGCGTGGCCTGCACATGATGCATCTGGCCCGTGGGCCGCCAATTTGACACTCCTGGTCTAAAAGTTACCTACAATGTGATACTATGAATTTCCTTACAACAACTAATGACCTAAGGAGAAATGATAAATATGTAATAATATGCATCAGGATCTAGACAAATAATGCCACCTATTACGAAACAAGTTTGGGGGAACCAGCAAGTGACTCCCATTTTGATATACTGCAGGTTCTCTGCATTTATAACATGGAAGCCCAATTTAGATATTCCAAGCATACTACACTGTGCTATACAAAAGGAGAGCAAATCTTTTCAGTTATGCTGCACTATTTCAGCAGGGCTTGTAGGAGAGTTCCATCTTTATTTTGAGTGGAGGGTGTCCGGTTCCCAAATTTTATGATCGGCCCTGTAACTGTTCCTTTTACTTTACCGTGTCTTGTTTTTCCAAACAATTTCCAGCATTTTGAGATGTGGTGGGAAAACAGATCCACCTGCTTTTACCCACAAGACATTATTTGCTGTTGTGAAGGATCTAAACTTATTTTGAATATTACAATGGCATGGAAGGGATGGACTCTTGGAGCTGTGTCTTCGGCAGATGCGTAACGTGATGCATTATGCCTGTTCAAACAAAATCAGACCAATAGAAAATCTGGCCTATACAAAGGAGTAATTTAACAGGAGAATCAATATTTATGTACTGGTTACTTGAACAATCCACTTGGCCCGTCACAGGAGCCTTGCATGACTCCTTTCACTGAAACGAACGGTGCTATGCTAGAGTAGCACTGAGTGGATTTTTGCCAAGGCTTCTTAATTCCCTCAAGATTCCCCTTATGCAAATCTGCATCGGAAAGACTTACTCAGCCCTCACTGTAAATTTCATCATAGCCTAGATCTTTCAGCACTGCAGTAAAATTTGTATTGTCATTCCAGTGTAAGCTTTTAGTGTTTTATTGATTTGTTTAGTACTGTATTTGGATTTGTCCTTGTAAATGTAGCAACGTGCGTGGCTTCATTGGCAGTTTACAAGCAAAAGATGACATGATGAGACACCTGTATGAAAATGTTGTCACTACTGAAGTCGCAGTGTATGGTAACTGATTAAAATGTCTGCCTCTAAGAAACTGCACGATTCCCCTTATTATTTGCTGTCCAGCTAGAAAGGACCTAAATGGATAATTTCTCTGAAATAACACTAAATTGTTCTTGCATTCTAATGTTCACTGCCCTACTTAGCAACACTGTCTGTTTGCATAAGCCCCATTGTAAATAAGGCTATCTTCAGCTCTCCATGAACGGACTTAACCCTTAATGGCAAATGAATGTAAATGGTTTTGTTTGCTTGATTTCAAGAACGGATGAAACATGCTGAAGAACTGAAAGAGATTAATCCTAGAAGGAAAACAGGTCATGACAAGATCATATGCAGAAACAAATTAAAGCCACTCTCTTTCCAATACGTTCCATAATAATGTATTGCTATGAAAGCCAGACGTGGAAATAGAGTAAAAAAAGAGACAAAAGATGGACCTCTTCAAATTATGGATCTGCAGGCATTACCAAGAGTGCCAGGGAGTACAAGAAGAACCAATCACTCGATCAGTCCTGGGCCACATGCAGACCGACTGCTCCCTTGAGGCAAAGATCAGCAAACAGAAACTCACGTCTACAAGCAGATGATGGACTACATAAATTGATGATGATTGGCATGAAGACAGTGAATAGAGAGAATGAAATGGATGGATGGAATCAGGTCACAGAAACATCCTTTGGAAAAACTACAAGTTTCTGCCAGAGACGGGTCAAAACGGTAAAGACCTGTTACTACTAAATTTATAAAGCAAGCTTTACTCAAACTAGCTTACAACAAAGCTGGGCCACTTGCCCATGAAATCATCAGAACCTCAATGATACCTAGAGTACATTAATGTGAATAATAGTGCCACATATACTGTACGTACACAACATTGGCAAATGGCAGAGAATTTAGCAGTACTGCCACGCTTGAATTCTTCATTTGAGTAGATTGGGAGCACAGTAAAACATTCTTGCTTTCTAGGTTTGCTGCTTTCTAGGTTAGTATTTTCCTGCAGTAATGCTAGTAATTGCAGTGTGGCAATTGCAGGAACTGGGTATGTCTAGTTTAATGAAAAGAAGGACTAGAGATGACATGATAGCAGTGTTCCAATATCTCAGGGGTTGCCACAAAGAAGAGGGAGTCAAACTATTCTCTAAAGCACCCTGAGGGTAGGACAAGAAGCAATGGGTGGGAACTCATCAAGGAGAGAAGCAACCTAGAACTAAGGAGAAATTTCCTGACAGAACAATTAATAAGTGGAGCCACTTGCCTGCAGAAGTTGTGAATTCTCCAACACTGGAAATTCTTAAGAAGATGTTGGATTACCATTTATCTGAAGTGATGTAGGGTTTCCTGCCTGGGCAGGGGGTTGGACTAGAAGACCTCCAAGGTCCCTTCCAACTCTGTTATTCTATTCTATTCTAATTCCTGAGTAGTGCTAGATTTTCCTCCATTTCACTGGATGTTAAGGTGGAGAAGAATCAAATGTATTTATTTACTATACCACTCCCTGGAAACTTATGGCAAGAGACAATGAAGTAGAATAAAGGCACTGGCAATATTGTAATAACACAAAAATAATCTTTTTTAAAAAAAAAGAAGAAGAAGAAGCAGTACAGTGGTTTCAAATCCATTGGGCTGCTGGTTGGGAGTTTTTCCACAGCAAGGGGGCTACTGATAAAAAATGGAAGTTTCTCACATGACCCAAGATTTTATGTGGAGAGCATCCTTAAAGCCTACATTTGAGATGTGCAAAGTAAAAGTGGAGAATCAAAAACAGTCCTTTGAATTATACTGGGTAGCCACTGGTAGCCAATGTAGAGGCCACATAACCTGTATTAGATATCGATAGCAAATATCACCCATCAACAAGCAGGTTGCTCCATTTGGGGTCAATTGCAAATTCCTAATATTTTTTTTTTTAAATAGTCCCATGCAGAACATTTCAGTACTAACTGGCAGGTGAGAAGACAGTTTATTGTTGACAGTGTTTCTTTTACAAGGAAGGGCCACAGCTGAGACATCATGCCACACAAAGTTGTCCCAAATTGTGAGATGGGCGGTATATAAATTTAATAAATTATATAAATAAATCTGGGCAAAGACTGACTTAAACCCCTTAGTCATAGTTTCTGCTCTCTAGCCATAGTAGCTACGAATCTAAGGGCTCCCCTATTAGCTACACCACACGTGTTTTGGCTGCTATCTAGGTTGATCTTCATTTTATTTATTTGCTGGATATGTATCTTGCCTTTTCTCCAGGAGCATCATTTCTCTGTTTTATTTAAAAACCCACTACAACAACCTTTTGAGGTACATCACCCTGTGAGTTTCCGTGACTTGAACCTTGACCTACTGTACTGTAAATGTAGCCCTTTAGGACATTTCATTACAGCAGATAAAAGAATTGGACTTGGAAGGGGAAAAAAGTACTTAAAAGTGCATACTGGAACAAAATGAACATGTTTTTTTAGAAGTGCAATTCCATCCTGGAAATTAATTATATATTAACCAGTCTCTTTCTCTCCCTCTCTCTCCTTCCCCCCCTTCTCTCTCTCTCTCTCCCTCTCTCTCTCTCTCTCTCTCTTTCTCTCATTGTGTATTCTGCTTGTAAACATATGTGCACTTCTGTTTCTCCTATCACCTGCATTAAAAAAAAATATCCAATGAAGAATTTAGATAAGGACAGTTTACTGGACATAAATCAGCAATCAATTATTCTTCCAAAGGAAGCTAATTCAGCTTTTTTTTTTTTTCCTTTGAATTTTTCCACCAGAGAAGGCAGAATGGTATGGTAGGAAGAATCATCCAAGAAGAGAAGAAAAGAGGAGGCACCCCATTGCCTCTTGAATCTTAAGGTGTTTTCCTGTGTTAAAATCGCTGGTAGATGAAATATTATTTTCTCTATAGGTAGAATTGGCTCAGGATCCGTTCTATTGCCGATCACATAAACTGATCAAATGCAGAAAGGGCACGACATTAACAGGAAGGTAAAGCCAGGCAGTGCCGAATGAACTTTCACCTTTCACCTCTTCAGCTGACAGACAGGACTGAGTGTGAAAAAATCAATACGGAGGAGCCAGGAGGGAAATATTTCCAAGCTCTAACTAGAGAATGTATTTTGACAAGGCCAAGATAATCCAAGCTGCACAGGAGAAAGAGGGGGAAAAAGACTCATTTTTAAAGCTTGACACTTCAAGGTGTTTTTGTACAATGGTTTGGAGAAAGCATCGATAACGTATAAATAACAAAGGTCAAAAAGAAAAGCAGAGAATTTCAGAAATTGCATGCATTGTCTCTCTCTCTCTCCATCTCCTATTTACTTTGCCAAATAAGATTGTGTGCCCAGCGGTGATTAACATACACGCAAGTGTGCAGACTCCCACTTTCAAGAATTAAGCAAGCCCATGAATGCAAGGAGCTTTCTTCTCCTTTTTTGGGGTGGGGGTGGGGTGGAGGAAAACCTGGGGGGGGGGGGCATATGGGAGTGATGCAGAAATCCCATATTCTACCCTGAAGCCCTTCCATCGTCTAGCATGTCTGCCGTTATTATAGCCCAGGAGATTTCATGCAAAAATGGCTTGTAAGGAACTAATCATTCCCTTTGGAGAATTTTGTGTATGTGTGTCTGTCTGTGTGTATATCACTGGTGGGTTTCTGCCGGTTCACCCCGATTCCCACAAATCGGTAGCGGCAGTGGCGGGAGGCTTCGCCCATCCTCCCGGACGTCATCATGGATTGTCTGTGCAAGCGCAGAAGCGCTGCGTGTGCGGGGTCACAGTTGCGAACCGGTAGCAAAAGTAAGTGAAACCCACCACTGGTGTGTATACAGATACGCATACACACTTCACACACAAATTCAAACGAAACCAATCCTAACCACCTTCACTCTTCCCTGTACGCTAAAAATTGCACCACCTGCATGCTTGACTAAATCACATTAAATAAAGCTAGCTAAGCTTACTCATTATCCTAAACCAGGAGTTCTTAAAACACTTTGCTACCGTATCTCCTTTTAGTGAAATCTTAATTTCAACGCCTCCCCTAAAAATCCACTGAAAACAATGCAGTGAAACTCTGGTATAGGTGAAGGTATTGTAATAATGTAACAAAAGGTTGTTCGCACTTTTCCAAGGGAGGCGCATCTCCTACCGGTAGTCGTCTGTTTACAACCGTTTGTTTAGTGACGGTTCAAAGTTACAACGGCACTGAAAAAAGTGACTTATGATCGTTTTTCTCACGACCTTTGTAGTAGCCCCGTGATCATGTGATCAAAATTCAGATGCTTGGCAACTGGTTCATATTCAGGACCACCACTGTGTCCCAAGGTCATGTGATCACCTTGTGCAACCTTTCCTTGACAAGCAAAATCAATGGGAAAGCCAGATTCACTTAATAACCATGTTACTAACTTATCCACTGCGGTGATTCATTTAACAACTGTGGCAAGAAAGGTCGTAAAACAGAGCAAAACTCGCTTAACAAAATAAATTTTGGGCTCAATTGTGGTCGTAAGTCGAGGACTACCTAGGCTTGAGCCTTGGTAGTACAGGGGTTTAAGGCACCCTGTTATTAAGCTTATTAAGACCAGCTGCCTGCAATTACTGCAGGGTTCGAATCTCGCCAAGGCTCAAGGTTGACTCAGCCTTCCATCCTTTCTAAGGTAGGTGAAATGAGGACCCAGTTTGTGGGGGCAATAAGCTGACTTTGTATAAATATACAAAAGGATGAAGGCTATTGCTGAGCACATTGTAAGCCGCCCTGAGTCTTCGGAGAAGGGCGGCATATAAATCAAATTTTTTTTTAAAAAAGCCATGATTTGCACTACTGTAACCCTAACTTCCAGATAAAACTAAAATTGGCTATGTTTCTATGACACGCCATAGCTAATCAAAATCATAGACCATTTGAGGCGGAAACTAAGCAATTCATGCAATGGATCCGTGTGATATGATGGAGACAGTCTATAGAGGTTCTGTTTAGGTTCTGACACTCTTCTAGAGAAGTCATCACTTGATACACAGTCAACCATCAATGAACGTGTGA